TTACATCCTCACCTGAATTCCTAATAAGGAAGACTGAATAGTTCCAGTCATTCACCGTGATTTCTGTTGGGGCAGAGCTTCCTGCCAGGAGACTTCAGAGGCTTTGGATCTTCATTGACTGATTACCTCGGGCCAAGCCATAGACCAAGCACCAACTTGGCTCTAACAGTTACGCCACGTTGTGGAGCAGGGCGAATCAGTGGCAAAAGATGTTGGCCACCACTATACAAGACCCTGCCAAGGAATCCTCCTGAGAGAGAGACTGTAAATGAGAATGTTTCCTGAGAAATTGCTTGTAGGTGTGACAGGCTCTGTCTTCCAGTGTGGAAGATGAGTTTAGGGGAGAAAGTTGGACCAGTCTATCCATTGCCTTGCCAGGTCCCTCTTGGGACAGGTGAGACACCTAGTTGTGTCTAGGACCTGTTGTGTGGCCATGGAATATAAGAATGTTCACTGTCCCATGCATATTTTTTTATTAGTACATGTTTTTAGGACACATGATGATTGCATTCATCATGGGGAGTTGGTACAAGCATATAATACATCTTAATTCTCTTTTTTCCCCATCCCATCCCCCTCCCTCTATGTCTTGATCCCCTTCCCATTATCTATCTTTATTTTACTCTTTAAATTATTTATGCTTTGGGTTTCTCATGTAAGAGAAACCATGTGATATTTAAGCTTGTGTGTCTGATTTATTTTACTTGACCTTATGGTCTCAAGTTACATCCATTTTCCTACAGATGACTACAATTTATCCTTCTTTATGGCAGAGTAGTACTCCATTGTGTATAAATACCACATTGACTTTATCCATTCATCTGTTGATGGGCATATAAGTCACTTCCAAGATGTCCTTATTTTAAGTTGTGCTACTATCTATACACATGGAAAGCATGCATATGTAAAATTTGAAACTCTGGCCTTATGAGTATTAGCTCAACTCTGCCAGCTGGTAACAGTGACCAAAAAGCACAGACACTGGAACAAAGTGTCTTTATTTTCAGTCCATCATAAACCCTTACTTGTATCTGGACAGGTGCCAGGGATCACAAGGCAAATAGGACTTGCAACTTTTCCTTGCAGGGATGACGCACAAATAAAAGTTATATTGTTTCTATAAAGAGCTGAGCTGTACTGGGAATGGTCTGGAAACCAGGTGGGGAGAATTCTGGCTCCAGCTGTCACTCTCTGGTTGTGTAAAGCTTGGCTCCATTATTTAAATACTCTGAACCATAATTTTCTTATTGTAAAATGGGGGCAATAAAATGTACCCTGCTGGACTCTATGGTCATCAGAGGGACTCAATAAGATAATATATATGAAAGAAATTTACTGTAAATTTCTAAAGCAAAACAAAGCTTGCAAAAATCACTGCCTTCGATTTGTGTGTTATTGGCAGAATAGAACCACTCATTACCAGCGCCAGTGCTAGTTCCTATTATTAAATACACTGTCCTCACAAGGTCTCTGTGAATGTCTTTAAAAGAAACCCAATCACGTTGGAAACATGTACTTCGATGGTATGCCTGAGGTTTCAAAGAACATCTGATAAAGGCTTTAAAAGTTTAAAAGTACAAACTGAATATTAAAAGCACCAGTAAAAAGTTAATGGAGCAGGACCCGTCAGGAGAGAGGGGCTCTTTGCTGAGTGTGGGACAGTGCCTCAGACTCCTGCAAGAAGAAAGTTTGCAACTGTTAGCATTATACTAGAAATTTCTCAAAGGGTTGATTGGTACAATGCTTACAGTTTCACTAATTTTTTCTTCTAGGACTTTTGACCATGAACACCCAGAACAACTATGATTTTAAATTATTTATTTATGCTGAGTCAAGCATAGGGACAAGAGTTCCTTTTCTGATTTTAGCCAAATACAGTGAAGCCGGTGAGTGAGTCATGCACATAGGAAAGTGGCAGGGACTTCCTTTGAAAGTCTTCTGATTCTCTGCTTATATAGAGTACTTTCTAGAACACTGAGGGCTTAAATAGTTTATGTTCTTGAGTGTTTCTGAACTGTCCCCAGTCTTTCCAGTAGGAGTGTAAAATCCTTGGGCACAGGAACTGTATTATACTCCTAAAAATACAGTGCTGCAGTGAACAGCCCCGGAGTATGCATTACCATGCTGCAGCAGAATTCCAAGCAGGGGATTGTTATCTATTTTTTCCCTTTCTGGGTTCCGGAATCCTGTTGGTAACAGTCAGGTATGGTGAGTGGACCAGATGTCTGCACATAACACACTTGACATGGTTATTTTACTCTGGATTTTAGGAAGTCAACAGAAGGATCTGTATTCAATGACTCAGTCTACTGATTGTAATGCATTTCACTTTTCATATTTAGAAACAGGAATTCAAAATGCCCCTCGTGGTATTCACCATTGGTTTTCTTTAACTAAAGAATTGGCACTCATGCTAAACTAGCATTGTGGCTGAAGAACTTTGGCTCTTGAGTCAAGCTTACTTGAATTTGAGTTTCAGCTCCTCCACTAACCAGCCATGACCTTGGCCAACCTTTATAATTCCATTAAAATGGGGACAACAGTAGTCCTTCCTTCATAGAGGCTATTGTGAAGATTAAAAGAGGGGATCTACATTAGAGCATTTAGCAGGATGTCTGAGTTAGAGTTGGGTGTCCAGCACCTGACCGGAAGATCAGATCCATGTGATTCTGTACACGGTGTTTGGAGGAGGAGGAGGAGGAGGAGGGGGAGGAGGAGGAGGAGGATTTAAACCCCTCGAGGCCAAAACAAGTCCTTTTCTTGCTGGGAATGCAAACTGCAAATAATTCCAGCCGTCTCAGGCAGGCTCGTGATGCACAACCTCATTACACAGCCCAGCGATGGAGGCGCAGGCGTTACAGTTTAATCACTTTGTGCCCAAAGCCATATGGCAGGAGGCAATTTACTGCCTGATCACGAAGTGGCTCCATGAAATGAATGCCTTTCGATTTAATAATCATTAACATGACCCAGACGCTGACTTTAAGTATGGGCTTGAGGGAGAGGTGAAATCCAGAATGCTCTTTGTGCTCTGTACTTTGGAGGCAGGCTTCTGTCAGAATTGACAACTCTGGAGCCGTCCCAGAGGGAGTGTGCTTGCTTGGCATTCGGGACCATTTACTGTGCTAGAAAATTGGTCTCTTGTTCGGCCAGGTATGCCCTTGCGGCTGGATGGTTGTGTCAGGGTCTCACTGTGGGCTGGGAGGTTTGTGCTGAGCATGGTTAGTCTGGCCTGGTAGAATGTGACTCATTCCAGGTAAATCTGCAAGGGGCAGTCTCCAGGAACCAGATATCTCACTCTAGAACTGTTGAATGAGAAGAGAGCAGCACTCTTTCTATGAATTCATGCCTGTTCCTTGCTGATGTTCCAGCCTTCTGCCAGGCCTCCCTCGGTGTCCTCTCCCAGCCTTGTTGGCCTACTAAGGGCCTCTAGATCGAGGTCAAGGAATCAGTTTCAACTCGCCCACCAGCTCAGTGTTACAAATGCATCAGCTAATTAGAGTATTCCGGTGTGGAGAAATGATGTCGGGCCTTGAGAACTTTAATATAGCTAGAAAATTTAATATAGTTTGTGATGTCACCAGCTGGTCTTTAAACAGTCTAGTTCTCCCAGGGCAGAGGGTTTCTTGAGAGTATAGACTACTTTCTGGGTTCAAATCCACCACATTTGGCCATCAGTGGACCTATAATATGTATCTGTTGAATGAATGAAAGAACAAAGGAATGAATAAAGCATCTGTCATGGACTAATTATAGTGTATTTTTGGTGGAAGTAGGGGCATGAAGGCAATGAAATATGGGACCTCAAGGACAGAAAGTACCAATAAAGTAGCACAGTAGTGTTAAGGGAAGGCAGAAAGAAGGTAACAAGTAGAATAAGTTTGGAAAAGCAGAAAGCAGAAAGTCTTGATCAAAGTCTCACACTTTCCTTCTTAAAAATAAAAAGTCGGGCTGGGGATTTAGCTCAGTGGTTCTACCACCTGCCTCGCAAGCGCAAGGTCCCAAGTTCAATCCCCCTTACCAAAAGAAAAAAGAAAAAGTACAGCAATTCTTTGTGTTAAGCAAATTAACTAACATCACTGACATTCCTTTCATGAGTGAAAACGTTTCTGTCTCTGTTTCAGAATAGTCCCTTTATTTCTATACTACATTTTGAGCATATTTGTATCTTTCCGGGAAGGCAGTGGGTGAGAAAAATGTTCTTTCTGCCAACACGATTCACCTTTTTTTGTTTGTTCATGAAAAGCAGGATTTCCAAAGTGACATATCCAGACCATTCCATAATAGAGCTCCCTGGAAGCAAGTATGCAAATGAAGCTTGGAGGTGAATTCAATCCTGCAGTCCTACAGGCTCTAACGTTCCTATCAATATTTCACTAGGCTCTAATAAAATTGCTCTTCTCCTAGGATGGAGCGAGCATAAGTTTCCTCTTCACTTTCAGCAGCTTCTCTGAGATCATAGGGAGAATTAAGCCTTAATACATTGACAGTAGCCGTTGAGGATTTAGTTTCAAAACCATCAATTATTCTCTGCCCCACCTTAGAAGTATTAAGTGAAAGCCATCAGGCAAAGGTTATAATTAGAGATTGAAAAATGCTGACCAGGGAGCTCAGGGGGCCTTTCCCAACACTCCCAGGAGCTTGCTGCATTTCACAAGGCTGTGCGAAGAGCAGAAAGCCGAGGAGACTGGCAAGTCTCTAAGAAATTCAAGGTAGCAATCCAAATTCCTTTTGATTATAGAGCTGTCCCCAAAGCTTTCCTGTGAGATCTTGGTCTATGAGAAGCCTACAATGTCAGATTGAATGATGTCCAGAAGTTTCTTTCTGTATCAAACGTTTTGGATGTGAAGTTAGGAAGCTTTAGTATACTGTGAGAAAAAAAAAACACTATTCCGTACGGGAATTATTTCCTGGGATCCAGAATTAGACAGCAGGGCCCAAGCACAGGCCTGTAACCAGGTAGAAAATTGGCTACAACTTAATAAGGTGGGTGTGGTTTCCATTCCTGCCACCGTGAATAAGAGGCCTGTGATTTGCAGCACACGAGGTCTAGAGTTGAACACAGGAACGATTGTGGAGGGCCCACTCTGCACTGAGCGCCATGATGATGTGGGGCCTTCCTGCCCCGGCCCTGCCTGCTCACAGCCTAATGGATGGAGGAAGTCAAGTAAACAGGAGAGTGACTGAAATGAATGTCTGAGGAGAGGGGCAAGAACAGGCAGGTAAAGAGGTGTTTCTGTTTGGGTGAAAAGTCACTACTCATTTGGTGTGGAGGGGTGGAGCAGGTGGGGTCAGGACTCCCTCCTGGGAGTGGTGGGCCAAGCAGAGTCAGTGTTGAGGTCAGGGGGGAGGAAAATGGCTTCCAGGAGTTTGACCTCGTTACCCTTTCAGTGGCGCCCTCTAGTGGAAGTAGCAAAGTACCAAGGAAAGCTTCAAGACTGCCTTCTAACCCACACGTTCAAAAAGTGATGGTGAACAAGTGGCCCTTCTGTCCTTCCTTTCTTTTCTGCTGAGCTGTTTGAGTTCTTCGTATTTTCTGGAAATTACTTCTTTGTCAGATGAATCGTTTGTGAATATTTTCTTCCATTCTATAGGCTCTTTGTTGACTGTTTCCTTTGTTGTACAGAAGCTTTTTAGCCTGTGGTAAAAATTATTTAGTTACATTGGCAATAATACGTCCTTTGGGTAATATATTTTTCTGATTCATACGCTTTTTTGAGGTTAAAAATAATTCAAGGAAGAGTCAGATTTGAGATACAGTATAAATTTTGTTATTGGTAAATTTTGATGGCCTCTCAAAAACATTTATAGTGAGTAAATAACATTATTAATGCTAAAAATTAGTTATATATCTGTGTTTCTCAGTATAGCAAATATAAAGAAGTATAAGACATATCTTCATACTCAGGAATATAAAATTTAGTTGGAGGCATAAAAGATTAAAAAACATAATACAAGGCAGCATGTGCTTTATTACTCTGATGGGCTGGAGGTCCCCTGCTGACCTGGAAGACACAGTTGCTAAATTTTCCAGTTTTGTGAGCTGGTTGTTAAACATAGCATAATTACAAAATTAATTATGTAAATTTACACTTGAATAAGTTATACCTCTAACAAAGGTAATATACAGCCAAAAGTCATGCTTCTTCATTACAATATTTTACTATGTTTTAATATTGTTTCTGATCTGGAGGTTATTTATATCTGATGCATCTGAGCAGCAGAAGTAGTACATAGGTGTGCTCACTTACATCTCTAACCGGCTGTGGACCGTGACATCTTGGTACCTTGAAATCCACTGGATGGGAGGACTCACAGGAACTGACAAACCCCACCAGCCTAGGCCCCCTCCTCGGCCAGGTGTTAAACACACACACCAATGTGCACAAACACCAAGCCCTAAGAGCAGACCCATGCCTTCACACAGCGAGGGCACCTCAGTTTTGCTCTAAAACAAACTTGTCTGTATGTGGGTCAGGACCACCCCTGGGATATTTAGAACCAGGACAAATGCCCATATATCCCTGAACATTTTTATATAGGTGAAATCAGGTTAATATGAATATTAAAAGTATCTTTAAAGGTGAAATACAGTAAACAAAACTGCAGAGCTAAGCCTAGGGAGCAGGCATGTGTGTGTGTGTGTGTATGTGTGTGTGTGTGTGTGTGTGTGTGTGTGTATGTGTGTGTGTGTGTGTGTGTGTGTGTGTGTATGTTCATGTGTAAGGGATGTGGGGTACAGGGCAGTTAGCCCACTTGGCTGAGGGGACATGGAAAACCTTCCAGGAAAGAGTTAAAGGGTTTTCTGTGTTTCTTTTCAGCCCTGAAGCCTCTGAGACAAGGTTTTTTTTCTTTTGATTTTGCTGTACACCTGTGACAGAATTTAAAACAGTTTTTAAACGGCAGACTAATAGAGTTTAAAAGGGCAGATTGATAGATTTCAGAGTGGGGAGAGATGGCATTTGAACTTACACTCTGCAATTCTGTTCTTTTCTAACCCAAAGCATCGCAGACTTCTAAAGCCTCCAGGGGAGGGGGGGGGGCATTAAACATACAGAGAAGTAAAGATGCCAGCGATGGGATAAAAATTCGAAATATTCAATTACAACAAAAAAGTAGTTTAAAAGATAAATTTCATGTTAGGTATACAGTAGGATAATTAAAAGGAGATGTAATAAAAATAATGGTATCAAGACCGAGATATGGATATAGATACAGATACATTCACATTCTCAAAATTAATTAATAAAACCTTCTTGAAGAGAACAGGGGGCAGTTACTGATATTTAATCAAGGGAAGTTTTTCTTAATGTAAAGAAAAATAAATGTCAGAGCCAAGTGTGGTGATGCACACCTGTAATCCTAGCACTCAGGAGGTTGAGACAGGAGGATTTCCATGAGTTTCAGGCCAGGATGGGCTACATAGTGAGTTCAAGGTCAGACTGGACTACCTAGCAAGATGGTGTCTCAAAAAACAAACAAAAAAAAGAAGCTTCAAAATGACATATAACCAAAGCTAGAGCAATCAGAGTAGATACAAGGTGGAAATGGCAAGTATTAGGTAGTTTGGGGGAAATGAAAAATTAGTGAAGAAGAAAAGGACCAAGCCTTAACCAGTGGTCACTGAGTGTCCAGTGTGTGGTGTCAGCTGCACAGTCAGTCCTGGGGTCCACGAGGGAGCAGGAGAAGCAGGAGCCTCCGGACGGGAAGTGGCTGTCACAGGGGTGCAGCCAGTATCCAGAGGGAAGGGGCTCGCAGGTATACCAGATGCTCCTCTTGAGCACACAGACACCATAGTTCACCAGTGAGAAGGGGCCCTTTCTTCACAGCAGAACAACCCTGAGATAGGGATGCGTCTCCCAGCTGACAGTGTCATTCCCCCACCGCTGTCCTGGTGGCAGTCATGATAGTGTTGTCATTGCTGGGCATGTGGAAACCGGAACACAGACATTCATATGGCAATTCGGTGTTGTTTAAATAAGTATGTACTTGTGTCATATAGATTTCACACAACAAATGAGAGGTTCTATAAGAAAGTGTGGTGCCTTGGTTTGCTTGGGGCTGTTTCTTCTTCATTTGATGATGGTGTCTTATGATCAGCAGAGCCTTGGATCGGTGATGTATGGGTTGGTTTGCCATTTGTTAATTTGTGTCCTATTGACACACAGTCTTGGGTGGCCTCACTGAATGCTTCTGTTGAGTCAGAAACGTGTAGTTAGGTCAAAGTGATCACCCAGACATCAGTGTTCTGTGCTCAGAACACATCAGCCACTTGCTGAATTTGTTTGTGCTCTTATAATCAGAGACTACTTTGACTTGGTTCTGATGGATTCGAAAGGTTACAGTTACATGAAGATGGGTGAGTTTCTGGATTTTTCTTCTTAGTATCAAAGAGCTGAGCCACCCTCTCCCGTGTCTTCTCTACAGCCGTGAACTGCCAGGCATATGTGACCGCAGCTCTTCCACGTGGCTGGCTGGGAGAGGCCACCTTCATTTGGTATCTACTCAGCAGAGCAAATGGTGAGAACCATGACGTGGTGATCCAAGGTGAAAACTGTCAGAGATCATGGTCTAGAGAGGATTGGGTGTGTACAGTTTACAGGTGACACGGTGATTTAGACTGGTGCTGTGCACTCGCAGGGACAGGGCCATCGGTGCCTACGCTGTTCCCTGAGATTTGGGTACAAATCTGGGAGAGAACCTCTTAGTAAGTGGAATAAGCAGGCTAGCAAGGGGATAGGAAGCTGCCAGGTAGTGGTGCAAAATTCTGGGCCACGGTCATCCTGAACGATGGCTTCGTTTCCAGGTGCGCAGGGGTAGGGCATAATCCATTTCATAGCTGGTGGCCTGTTTCATGTTTCAGACTGGATTGGAGACAAGGAGGTGGGAAAACTATTCTCTGATGGCACAGCCAAGAAAGGGGTGGAACTAAGGTGATCCAGCTCATTTATTTCCCTTTCATTAGGCCCCTGAAAAACAGAGACTAAGGATTTAATTGCACCGCTCACTTCTGTCTCTAGAAAAGCCAACTTAGTAATTGTGTTAACTTTTACTATGCTTTGCTCTTATGGGTAATATAATTTCAACTATTGCTTCCTAATCATGAGGCTTTCATTGTTCTGAATATCCCACTCAGCATGTGTTCCATTTTTACTTTTATGAAGTCCATCGTGGCAAAAAGGGAATGGGCATCTTTGAAAGACTTGGGCAGAGCTGAAGCTGTGACTTGCCCAGAGCCATTACCTCCCATGACCAGAGGGGTGCTACTGTGATTTTTATCCTTCTTTGATGAATAATGCTGTTGGCAAAGACCATATGCTCTGTCACTCACTGGATCTGCAGGCACTGCACAAAGGAGGGGTAATCACATCAAGCTAGTGATGCTTGTTGTTGGGTGGCAGCAATGGCAGAAGTAATGGCAGTCATTAAACCCTTGCTGCAAGTGGCCTTGGGCCTGAGGCCATGGCTCACTCAAAAAGTGTCAAGGATGTGTCGCTGCTAAAGGCTATCATCATCCCTGGGTCTTCTCAAGAAGAGCATCCATCACCTTTGAAATTGCAGGGCCAGCAGACAACAGTGGGAGGTGTTGCAGCTACACTGTGGTGCTGTGACTGTTGCCCAGAGCTCCTCTTTGGCTGAAGATCACAATGAAATCCCATAAAGTTGAGCTCCTTCCTAGAAAGGGAGTAGAAGATATCTTTGAGGAGTTCCACTTCTGTAAGTGCAAATTTTGCACTACCTGGATGCATACGCAGTGCCAAAAGCCAGGAGGAAGAACTCAAATAGGGTTTTTCCTGCTCTCTAGAACCTCTAGGGGCATCCAAGGACGCGGACGAACACGTGCAGGACAGCATGTGGCATTACATACGCACGTGTTCTGGGAGGACTGGACAGGCAAGGATGGTGTAGACTGGTTCAGACTAGATTTGAAAAGATAAGCCTGGGCTACAAAGGAGGAAAGAGAGGTAACCTTGAAAGAGCCATTTAATACTTAATGAGTCATATTCATCTGTCAAAAGGGAGTATCTACCTTCCAATTATTGATAGGGCAAAGAACCACTCAATACGGCGCATTGAAAACATAAGATTTTAAAAAATAAAACCTTAAAAACTAGATATGAATGCACTGGTAGAAATAAAAGGAAAGGCAGTTTCAGGTGGAGAGATCCCAGCTGCATGAAACTTCCTTTCTGCCTGGTGCATGGAACTGTGTTGATGTTCACGTCTACCTGTGTATATGTTGTAAGGTGTGTGTGCGTGTGTGTGTGTGTAGGAGATACAGTATATGCCCTTTCTTGGGGAAGATCCATCTTCCTTTACCCTACAACACAGTTGCAGAGTTTCCTTATAATATTAGGAAACCTCAAGACAGAGCCAAGTTATTCCTTAGGTTGTATATAACCTAATATAACTTGCACGAAGAAGAAGAAATAGACAAAAAGATACTTCTTAGAGGCTTTAGATTTCTTGCCTCGGGACTAAAGGATCATGACTCAGACAATGACTTGGGGACAAACTAAAAATTTATAGCTACTCCTTTAACAAAGGGCAGACACTGTTTATAGTAGAGAGTCTGCGTGCCAAAAATACACTTTTATAGTTTGGCTCCAACCCACAAGATTCTACCTGCAGGAACACAAATACTGGTAAAAGATTGTAGGAAAGCAAAGAGATTTAGCAAAAAATTAAACTCAGTAAAATTTTATTAGTAATTTATTTATCCTTTTATTTAGCATCGTTCACAAAATGCTTTCTTCATTATCTAATTTTATGCTCAGCATAAACCTGGAAGTGAAGCATTTCTGATATTATACTGCCCATTTTCTGGTTGTGGAAATCAAGTTCCAGGAGATTATGTGATTTACAGCTAACAAGTGCTAGACTTTGACTTTGAACTTTGGACTGTTGTTCCAAGCCTCCCTCCCTCCCTTCCTTCCTCCCTCCCTTCCTTTCTCTCTTTTCTTTTCTTCTTTTCTCTTTCTTTCTTTCTTTCTTTCTTTCTTTCTTTCTTTCTTTCTTTCTTTCTTTCTTTCTTTCTTTCTTTCTTTCAAGTCTCACTAAGTCTCTAGGTTGCCCAGGCTGGGCTCCAACTTGCAGTCCTTCTGCTTCAACTTTCCAGAGCGCTGGAAGTATAAGCACATTCCACCAAGCCTGGTTATTCCAGGGTTCTTTCCTGTATATTACATTGTCTCGAGATCATGTAATGAGTCCTTTTTTTTTTTTTTTTTTTTTGAGGAAACAGGTTCAGAAGGGTGAAGTGGTTCACCCAAGATTGTGTAGGTAGTGCCTTGGCTGGGCCTCAAGCCCAGATGTGCCAACCTCCTGCCTGTGTTCCTTTCCTAATGCAAAGCCACAAGGATATGGGTTAGAATTCTTCCTCATAGAGTTGTTTCCCTAGGAAAATGGCACTGTAAATGTCACATGGCAAAATTCCTACAGTAATTTCAAGGAAAATAAATCAACAAGATGGTACAACACAAAATATATGATGCATTTACTATGCATTGGGCTCCTTATTACATGAATTAGCTAATTTAATCCTCCTAATAATACTCTCAGATGACTATGACTATTATTTTCATTTTATCACTGGAGAAACTGAGGTACAAAAAAGCCAAGTAATCTGACCAAAGATGCACAGCCAGAGCATGGTGGGTTGGGGTACAAACTTAAGACCCTGGAACCTGAGTTTTAAGCACTCAGAATATGCAAGTATCTATTAGAGATTCAAATCGGGTGCTGAAATGAAGTCACTTTCTGTTTGTTTGGGTTTTTTTGGTTTTTTTTTTTTGTACCAGGGATCAAACTCAGGACCTTGCACTTTCGAGGCAGAAACCACTGAGCTAAATCCCCAGTATGAAGTCACATTTGATTAGAAAAACCTTTTTAACAGTGGAACAAATTAATAATGAAAATAGTAATATAGGGTAAATGTTCAGATTGATTAAACACAAATAACTAATGTCAATTATACATCATCTTATTTAGTCACTGGCTAAGTGCTTTAATATTTGGTTTTTGATACCATAGCAGGTTTGGAAAGTACCTGTGGTTTCATGTACAGAAACAGTCTGTGCAGTACATAGATTCATTCAAATCAGGATTTGTATTATTAATTTGAACTATGGAAGTTACAATATATTACACACTTTAATATTGGTCAGCTTTCCCATTGTTAGGACAAAATACCTGGCATCCACAACTTAAAGGAGAGATTTAACTGGGCTCACAGTTTCAGGGTTTTCAGCCCATGGTCAGCTGGCTCCAAAGCAGGAACTTCACGGTGAAAGGATGTGGTGGAACAAAGTTTCTCACTCCAGGGGAGCCAGGAAGCAGGGAAGGGGAAAAGAGCCCACGAGGAGGGGGCCAGGGACCAGATAGTGCCCACAATCCCCATCCATGACTCACCCAGATACACAAAGAAGTGTGCTTCACTAATCCCCTAGGTGGCTTTTAAACCAGTCAAGTTGACAACCAAGATTAGCTGCCACATCCTGCCTTCATTATCATAGAGTAATGGTATCTTGGGATTTCAAAAAGCTTTCTACATAATGGAGTACTATTTTAGCCTTAAAAAGAAAGAAATGCTGTCATTTGAAACAACATAGATGAACCTATAGGAAGTCATGCTAAATGAAATAACCCACAGAAAGACTAAGTGGAATCTAAAAAGGTTGAACTCGTTGAAGTAGGGAATAGAAGGTTATTCTCACAGGCTGGCAGCAGAGTGGGCAGGATGGGAAGAGGGAAAATGTTGGTCAAAAGGCTCCAAGTTTCAGTTAGAGTCAAGGAGTATGTTTGGTGATCTGTATAGTCAATGATAAGGTATTGTACATTTCAACATTGTTAAAAGACCAAACCAAAAAAACAAAATGGTGGGCCAGGGATGTAGCTCAGTGGCACTGCACCTGCCTCACAAGTGCAAGGTCCTGAGTTCGATTCCAAGTACCAAAAAAAAAAAGAAGGAAAAAACAAAATGGCTAAATGAATAGACTTTAAATGGCTCACCACATACCCAAATAAGTAGTTCAGGCAATGGATATGTTAAGTATCTTGATTTAATCGTTCCGCTCTCTATATATCACACTGTATCCCACAAATACATATAATTATTATTTAATTATTTATTTTATTATTTAATAAAAGTTTCTCCCAAAGAACTTGGAATATTTTATTTATTTTTATGACACAAGGAAGCAGTGACTAGTGCATTTTTTCTCACCCTTTTGGAGATGGGGAAGTCGAGTGAAGAGGAGGATTCTGACTCTGGAGTGAAGTGGTTGGGGACAGGGACAGAGCAGGGCAGGGCCTCTGACTTTCCCACGCTACTTCAGGTCCTGTGCCAGCATTGCAGGGGGGACTTAATGACCCCACCTTCAGAGCCAGACAGGTATCTGCCATGTCCCCTTTCTGTTCCTAGGGCTGATATTCAGCCACTTCCCTGTGGATTCAGGCGGAGGAAGGAATCCCGCTGGCCTCTGTGTGTTCAGAGAATGAAGACGTGTGGCTTCTTCTTTTGT